AATTACGAGTGATTGAAGCTCGAATAGGGAGTTAGGAAGCGCGCATTTTTAATTATTAATAGGTCACTTGTAGATTATAATTCAGTCTTAATTGAACAACTACCGTAATAAGGGCGTAGCACGAAGCTAATCTGGTAACATCCCCCGGTCGGAAGAACACCCCTACGCGAAAGATTTAATCGCTCTCCCAAACCCCAGACCACCCGACTGTAACACTAAATTTAGCCTGTTTATATCAGAAAGCTTGTGATGTGGAAAAACAAGTAATAAAGGCTAATCAGGATGAAATTTTATGCTGGTATCATTATGTTTTAGAATTCGATAATCAGGTTAGGAATATTATGAAAAATGAGAGGATTAGTGAGAAGAAAGCAAAAGGACTAGTTTATAATTTTATTGTTTCCAAACTTAATTGTAAACGAAATACCTTACACAAACAAACTCAAAGAGCTAGATGAATTTATGAATTTTTCGAAAAAATAGGTATAGACAAAATTAAGTATATTAAAACATATAGTGCAAACTCTATTTCTGAATTAACTAATGACCAGATTCAAACCATTGTTGCCAATACCGAATTACCCGATAATCAGCAGAGCTGGGATGGCCAAAATAGTTTTAACAATTCTTTAGATAATTTATCCGAAACTGAGGTGGGTGAGGGAGTCGAGAAAACTTTACCAGAAACAGAGGTAAATATTTAACTGCTCCTGTTCCATTGATTCACATTTCTAATTCGGAAGAAAAGATAAGTGAGAAAGTCTTCCGAAAGGAGGATGCTATTGCATCCGAATCTTTACCAGAAACTGAGGTAAGTATATCTATTGAATCTCACGTTTCCAATTCACCCCACAAAACCCGACCTCCAATTTCGATCTTACCTGAAGACCTGAAAGAAAAACAAAAACATGTTATCAAATGGTACCGGAGCAGTTTCGAAATTTATCTTTAAAATATAGTACTGGGGATAAAGATTACTTTGACTGTTCAACGGCCTGCCATATGAAATAAAGACCATAAAAAAGAAAATATAAGAGATAATATAGAAGGTAGATGGGGTAGTGGTGATTATGTCAATACAAAGCTTATCGACTCAGTTGCTGGCAAAGGTATCAAAATAATAACTGTGGAAGCATAGAATGTAATTATTGTGTTTCTTTAACTTTTCGTTTTCTTCTAATAATTCTTTATTTCTCTGTTCAAATTCTGTTATTATGTTTACCATACTTTTCTCTTTATTTTATTTATTCTTTTAATATTCTTATATCCTTTTTATGAGTATATATAACTTCTTCATTACAATAACTAATGTAAAATTTCGTCTTGTACTTATAATTTTGTCAGGGGGTGTACTAGTAGCATTAGTTATTATCTTTCCTCGATGTCGTGGGTGCATCTTGAAGTTGACGAGGAACTCTGTCTAGTGCGTCTTGAAGCCGACGCGGAACCCTGTCTAGCCGATCTTGTAGGCATACTTGTAAACAGATTTGAATGCCTTCAGTCTGTCAAAGAAGGCAACATAAAATTCCTCCTCATAAACACCGGCGAGCCTCTTAGCAGAGCTATGAAGCTTCGAGATTTGGAGACTGCTGATACCTCCCCTTTGATTGTTAGGTATCCCCTGTCAAATGATACTGGTAAGTCAAACTGAAAATCGTTCACTTGTCGTGGTACTACGCACATCAACTGTTCCATTCATTGCCAGGTGTTATTGTCTAATGTTCATAATCTTTTTTAAGTCCATCTTAATCTTCGTTGTTATATTTCGACCTCCTGGACCCATTTGAGGATTAGTCACACACAACTGGTGTTTGGCACCAGCTTCACAATGCAGCCAAACAAAAATTCAAAGAAAATTTGATGGACACAGAAGATTGGTGGTTTATCGACAATTCGAAAGGAGATCAAAGGGGAAGAACTCAAGGGGGAATTTGAATTCAATGACTGGCTGAACGACATCCCATCGAACAATAACAAACGCATCGTCAATGTCTTAATCAAAATCGAAGGTCCTAAATTTCTAGTTAGATTGAACTTCTATGCCTTACTGAAATGTATATTTAATTTCAAATTTCTACTACTACAGGAAGAAAATCTTATGGTGAATGGAAGCTTAATGAAATTACTGCTGCCCTCTTGGGAGTGTCAGCGTCAGATTTGGGATATTCGTCATTTCTCTAAGGGTACGGTTATTATTATTTTACGTATGTATATATACTTAGTTCTTATTTATTTCATTTGCAGATGATATTCCGAAACATAGTTGGGATATCTCTGACCTCATCTTGAGTGGGTTTACAACGGAACTTCGGAGAAAAATGGAGGCTTTCGGCGAATTCGTCAATGAACCAACCGTTCGCGAATTCATTTCGCCCTTCATGACTACGGCTGTTGTGATTGGGAAGAAAACGAATTCCACACTGCGGGTTGTCGCTAAAGATAATCTTAAGGGAAGCCGTGGATACGGGCCAGTCGATTTCACCGTTCATTCCGACGACATTATTATCCTCGTCACTGGGGCAAAGAATGAGGATTTAAAACAAGGAGTCGGGCAAAACTATGCCCAGATGCACAGTGCAGTTGAGGTACTGAATATTCATTATATTGGTCACATTCGATATAATTATTACAACTTCTTAAATCTTTGTAGTGCTTGGAGAAAAAAGGGAAAATTACTGAGGACGACAAGTATAGTGTTGTTATGTACGGGGTTGTTACTACGGGTAGCAATTGGATATTCAATCGTTGGATAGGCATGTCCAAACATCCGATGATCGAAAGGACGGATGTGATTAGAAATTCTTGGGTATATCGTTGGAATTTTAGAGTCTCAAGCTGAAGATATTGAGAGTCCCCCAAAAAGGAAAAGAATTAAGGTTCAGCATTTGCTTGACTGAAGTGGGACGCGTATTCTTGGCGATCAGGCGAAGGGAGAGTCTGTGCGGTTGGAAAGGAAGTACAATATTGTTTCGAAAATCGCGTTTTTTCTCCCTTAATTTTCGTCGTAAATTGCTCGTCGTTTATGCCAATAACGAAAATATTCTAAAAGCATAACAATAACTATAATGCCTAGGATCTGGGTCTTATATTAATATGATTTCAATTATAATTTGCTAATTTGAATGTTGGTTTGCATGGGCCACAATTTTGCCAATCATTATCAGCTATTTTAGTGTTATCTCAGCCACATCAGCCATTTCGAATTCATGTGATCAAATGTTCAATATATTAATATTAGTGTACTTTGCATGAAATCATTTGTTTAAATACCCCAAATATTTTAATTGGTGTCGTTTATTTCTTCGAGAATAGTACCCGGAGGGGTATTTCACTCGCGGGGTACTTTAGTCAGAGAAAGGCGGTAATTTTTTGTCAAACCACTCGTTAGTATTAGCTACATACGTATAATCATTTAATCGCTATAAATGAATTCAAGCAATCAAAGAGTGCAAATGCTTCCCGTGTGACCTATTCAAATAATTACGCTCTTTGTGACAGTATATGCAGAAATAATAGTGCTGTTAACTTACAACCCCCTTTATTAGAAATCACCAATATTAATAATAATAAATAAAAACGCTTAATAACCACTATTTTGATTCTAAGGCAGGTGGTGATCCCCCAGTTATTTCTTTCCAATTCTTATTAACAAACAGATTCTTTGACTTCAACGATTTCACCATCCAATTTCCAGCCAACATTCCACCAAACATGGGAAGCAACCCCACCCCACCATTTTTACCAAGAGTAAGAAACATTACTGGTGGCCCTGGTTTGTACTCGACTAATTTCTTCTCGCTGGCCAATGCGACTATATTTTTGGCAACTACATCTGCTTGAAGGCCGGCCCTGAATGCCATTTTCGTCTCTTTGACATTAGTAACGTCTCCCAAAGCAAAGATATGTTCGTATCCTTCATAGTCGAGTTGTAGCGTAGGACGCACTTTGACTAACCCAGTATCGGATTCTATTAACTGAGAGTTTAGTGTACCAGCCAATCCAGAATTGACGTGATTTCCGGTGGCGACCAATTGAACATCCGATTCGATTCTGGTGCCTTTGTCCGTTACAAGGGTAACTTTATTGTCTCCATTGCCTATGTCAGAAGCTGAATATTGCACACGTTCGTTTAGAATGATATTTACGCCTAGGGCTCTTAGGCGAGCGGTAGCTTGATCTCGGAATTTCTTTGGAAAGTCATCATTGAGGAGTAATTCACGTGGATGAACGACGGTTACTTTTTTGTCTTTGTAGGCGGTTTTTATTTCAGCGGCAAGCTCTGTTGGAAAATAAGCAATAGGATAATTAGTTTAGTCGAATGTTAATTTTCTTGCAGCTAGTTAATCGATTTTTAATATTTCGACATACCGATTCCGACAGAGCCTCCTCCAATAATTAACACTCTTGTCGCCTTCTTCACTGCACTCCGGTAATTACCAACTTCTTTTACTATATCTTTCTTGTTTCTTCCGTCAACCTTGGCAGGTTTAGCATTATCGCTTCCGGTGGCAATTATGGCATACTTGAATGGGACCTTATCTCCAAATTCATCGACGGCCTTGTCTAATGTTACTTCATTGTCACTCAGTCGAACTGCAGCTGCATGGATAACCTTCCCGCCGTGTTTAAAGAGGTTATCATATGGGATGAGAAGCTGAGATTCGAAATTGTCTACTGCGACCGTTCGTGGAGCCCCGATTGAATGCCAGTAGTGAGTTTTACGCTCGATTAAGATGATCTGGTGTGTTTTGTGTAACGCGGCTTCAAGCTTTTGGGCAGTGGCTACGCCTCCATATCCACCACCAATGATTACTATATTCGATTTAGACATGTTTAAAAGTCGATTGGTTGATGATAATTTGTTAAGTATTAAATAACTGCTTGAAATTACAAGACACTAGTTTGTTTCTGAGAATTTTACGAACGTCAACGCTCCTGTATATATAGGCGAATTTCCATAGTCCAAGTATTATAAATCGAAGTCGACTGGATTTGTCATCTGCGAAGGAAATCCGGCAATGTTTGGCAACGAACTAAATCGACTGTTACCCATGCGAAAGTAATCGGACAGCTTACATATCTCGATTATGTGGATCGGAAAAATAAAGCGCCATGTATTGTATTAGCATTCCAAACGGGGTTACATGATTCCGTGTGCTCGATTGTACAGGTTGATTACTCAGATTTTCTGATCGGCGGTTTATTCAACCGACATTGGTTTTTTGTGCAACTCGTATTATCATATCTTGTCCATTGTAAATAATAATATCGATATTATTAATAACCGGATTTAGAAAATCTGAAGTAACACAATTAAAGTGTCATAGCACATGTCAGGGGTATTGCACCAACGATTTGTCGTGTGCCGACTATCACGGGAGAGCAGGTAATAATCGACACTTGGTATTTAGCTAGTTTCGGCAGAGCTAAACCTCGGGTTACAGTTAGTGACCTTGTCCAATCAAGGCGAAAACGTAAAGTGACACTAATCCTGGATATATTAATTGTATTCTGTCGACTCCTAGGATGGGGGTTAGGGTTAGGGTTAGGGTACAATAATATTTTAATAATAACAATAAAATAATGCGCAACATAACAATTAATTATCGTAATTTGCCCCTCGAATAATTGCGGGACAAGAGGCGATTATTCTTCATCGATATAGAGATTAGCGGTTTCTCAGTTATACCGATAAGTTACCAGGGAATGCATCATTAACAATGCAATTCAGAGTATAAAGAACTACTCGTTTATTCACGATAAAGGAATCGAAGGTAATTAGAACATTCTAAACATGCATTGACTTCTATCTAACTGAAATCTATATGTCGTATATAAATCCCGTCAAAGAACCTAAAATTTTTTTGCTTGTCTCGCAAGTATGTAAGATATAAAGGATTATTTTAATGTAAATTATCTTTATTATTATATTCGCTGCTTTATGTAATAAATATTTTTTTTTCTCACTAAGGGTAAATAGCCGGAACATCGTCAATAAGTTCAACGCTTCACAGTTAACATCACATGCACCTTTACAAGCACACACCTTATCTGCCTGCCACTACTCGATGCAACACCAACTGTGCTCTGGGCTCTAGCTGCCCCTCTTAATGTTATTCGCTGCTGAGGTATATCGATATCGTTTAATTCAGGAAACTCGGCCATTTCCACTAAATTCAATTCATTATAACAACGGTGCAACAATTACGTGTATTAGCAAGGAATGATAATGATTACGATTAGACATGTAAATAGACAACAACGATTACCGTACAGTTCCGAAAATAAGCACCTCCCCAAAATTTTTGTGTAACTATTTATTGTATTTTGAGAAATAGATAAACTCATCTACGTAGTCTCATTATCACTTATAACAATAACTTCCAATTCCGTATTTTCTTTGTCAAAATTCCCAACTCTGTCTAAATTCCCTGTTATACCACATTTTTCAAAAGATCGAATTATGGTTTGAGCGGATATGTTTTCCCATGAACGCTTGACCCAACAACACACATCGCTGATCTAGCATGACAAAGATTTCCTGCTGCAGTTTCTCCAGCACTACCACTAGCCATCCAAAGATACCATTCCTTGCGAAGGTTATCTTTAAAGGGTTTGTTGATTGCAACATCTATATATTATTTAAATGTTTTGCGTTTCTTTTAATACTGGTATTCTCGCGTTTGAATCTGTCTAGAAAGTTCGAACTGTACGGTATTATAAACAACGATAACATTACGATTAGAGATATAAATAGCTTTTGATAACAACAATAATATTACGATTAGAGACATAAATATGTCCCCTTAGGTGTAGCACCAAATAAATGATAATAGTAAGGGATTAATAAATATCTGACGTGACGTAGATTTAAGAATCAGTAGCAACTTAGATATATAAACAACCAAAGTTCGAATAGTTTCTGCACCTTTTCCACTTAGTATTTGGTCGAAGGCTCCAACGGAATAATGGAATAACTCTTGCGGTGGAATAATACTTAGGATCGAATAAATACAATGGGGCGTCTCTAATATCTTCTCTAATGGTAGAAATTCAGCCTGGTAATCTCTAGCTTTCGGCATATACCAAGTTTACAGCGTCGAAAGCTTAATCAGTTGTGCGAACGATTATCGATGAAATCCCAGCAACGTTCTCAATAATATGTCACTATTACAACAACTTCGACAACCCTCTTCCACTATCAGAAACCGAATCACTGAATATAATGATAACGATCGAAATACGAATAAAATCCTGTATATATAAATCCACCCCAAAAATGGCGTATCAACCGTTCATTACGCCAACGACACAGTGGTTACGTATTATGATAATGGTGAATCAACGGAATCCGTCTCTTCTGGCTCCCCTCATACCATTTCATCCCCCCTCCCCGCTACCGATTGAAGACTCTTAAATCTGGACGCGTTGTTGAGAAAGTTATTTACGAATATTGGAATACGAGTCTTATCTACATCCTTATCATCAATGGCGTTGATAAAAAAGCGAAATCATTGTTTGAAAAGGGAGAATGGAAAGAAATATTTGACACAGCAGCAAAAAAATGCCAAATAGACAAATCAGTTATGAAGAAATATTCAGTAATGGATTTCTTACCTGCTAACACAGTGTACTCTAATGAGGACCACTACGAATTGGATTATGTCAATCTTGTGTATCTATTACTCACCATCTTTGATTAATAGCAACAAAAACACCACAAAAAGGTTGTGAAGCAGATGGGTCTATTCTACCTGTAGGAAAATACACTCTGGGGAGTGGTGATGATTTCACTCTAGATCCATCAAGATTGGAGGGATGGTATCAACAGAATATATG